TGTGTGTGTGTGTGTGTGTGTGTGTGTGTGTGTGTGTGTGTGTGTGTGTGTGTGTGTGTGTCAAAGTGTGTGTGTGTGAGAGACACCATTACATATATGTATGTGAACTGGTGAAGCCCTGACCTGCCCTCAAAATGCATGCAATTTGCCGCATTAGCATGGCATTATAAATGACGGAAAGAGAGGAGAGGCCAGTGTATGATTTCCGTCATCATTTGCCAGCCCTCCCTGGAGTCCACATTGAAAATAGTGAAACATTGCCAGGTGACGCATTTGAAAACCATCCCCTATCCTACTCCCCTGATGAACATACCTGCAGCACTCTGCAGTTTGCGATGCTGCGATCTTACACGGAGAGTAATTATTACTAATTACACTGCAGTAAAACATGTATAGCCTGCTCTGGATCTTCCTGCTCACCCGCCTGGCACTCCCTATATTTCCAGTCTAAGCCACGTGATAGATGGCTGAGCCAGGAGGAGACCATTCCAGCATGGAGTTGTCGAGGATATGTTAGAGAGGCATAAAATAAGAAGGTAGCAAGACAGCTAATGGTATGGATTGCTATCTTCGCTTTCATGGATGGCATGGACGAGGACCTTTCTAAGGGTAGGGTCACTGATCCTGATTTTGATCGCATCAAGAATACTCACATCGTACTTCTTAAGGTACTGTTCCTTGATGTGCGCCATGTCCGTGTCAAGTCGGCAGAGCATGCTTCGCTCCACACCCGCAATGTTTGGCGGCGAAGAATTCAATGCATCGTGAATGAGATCGGCGTACATGCCATACCTTGACTCCGCGCAGGATGCAATGAACTTCAATCCCTGGGCAAGTCTCGAGTGCAGCTTCAACTCCCTGTCCAGGAAGCTCTCCATAGACAGTCCGTACAACTCCTTGAACTTTTGAAACGCTGCTTTGAGCATGTCATGGCTCTCATGGGTGAAGACCGTAACAAACTTTTTTGTGTTGGCGAAAAGTCCTTTGCCAGCCTTATGCAATTTCTCTGCGAGCTGGTGGGCCGCTTCGGGGTCGGCCGGGGTTGTTTTCCTGGGCATACCTAAGAGTCCAATCAACAGCTCGCGGAGCTGCGAAAGTGCATTGAACTCGCCCATGACGTCATTCATGAGCTCCCTTTTGAACATCGATTTGTACTCGGCCTGGATATCCACCAACTCCTGTGGAGTGCGCATGCAGAGAATCTCGATCAGGACACCTTCATCGGTTCCCAGCCCAGCTATGGCTGCATGTAACCAGACTGCATCATTTATGGCGGAAGGACGGAGCAACGTGAGCAAACAATTTTGCAATGGACCTGGCTCCACCTTTTCCTTTATTTCCACCGCCAGATACTTGTCGTGCAGCGAATTGTAGCGCCGAACAATCACAGCACGCTGATCCGCAGACCGCTTAGAGAAAACCCGAACCAAAGACAGTGTGCGGTCAACTTTGGCTGCATCTTGAACCTCGTTAAAGCTCCCCTTACGCTCAATTCCTGCTTTTGTGTTTGTCATGATGCAGTCCATCCGCCGCCATGGCGATGTCACCACCATCATGCCCACATTACAGCAAAACGTAGAAGCAAAGTGAGTGGCTTGCCGCTTTCGTTCCGCAGGAAGAAGGTTACGTTTTCTCCAGGTCCAAGGATGACCATTCTTTTTTCTTTTTTTTTTCTTTTTTCTTTTTCTTTTTTTTTTTTCTTGTTTTTTTTTTTCTTTTTTCTTCCTTTCCTTTCTTTTTTTTTAATCCCCTGCACGATCACATACAGAGGGTGATATGAGTGTACCCTAGTAGCATCTCAGCTATGGACTACTCCGATCTATTGGTGGGAGCATCACCTGCTGGAAACTGGGTCACCAGCATCCCGCATAAGCGTCATAACCAATGACATGGCAAATCTAAAGCAAGAGTTCGCTGGATAGATCTCAGAAGATACTCCCAAAACAAAAAAAAAAAAAAAAAAAAAAGAGCCCATTGTGAGATCGTAGCTCTGACTTCGGACTTTTCATGTGCTGCAAGATGATCAATCATGATGATAACAATATACAAAATCTCATCCCCCCATCCCATGCCATCTTCCATCCCATCCCATCCCATCCCATCAAAGCCCATCAAAGCCCATCCCCCCTGATACTTCAATTAGGACTTCAAGAGACGATACTCTCTTTCCATCACCTTTCAATACCGTAACAACAACAATATGAACCCAGCAGACCCTGCTGAAACGGTTTCCACCTTTACGGTAGCAGATGCAGTACCCAGGTCTCTATCCCTTGACCTCCCCTTCACCCGTGTACAGTGCCCGCTGACCCGTGTGTGTTTGAACCTGCGACCTGTGTACTGAAAGTTGTATTTTTAGTTGTCGTATGTAGTGCGGTCACCGGGTCTTGAGCCGTACGTCTGTGTTTTAGGAGTCTTAGCAGTGGTCAAGTCTACAGCCTTCTGGAACTTCCGGAAGTGGCCGTTCGTAGGTCCTAGAGTCAGTCCGCGTCTGAGTCAGCAGAGGGCAGTACTGGCACAGTCAGCAAGGGGCAGTCCTAGATCTACTTAGTCCAGTCAGCAAAACCCGGTCCCAAGGTGCACTTTGTCCAGTCAGCAAGTACCATGTGGGACTGTGAACACCCCGGGCCCGGAGTTCAAGGGCAGACCTTTGATGATCCGAAGTATAAATAAAGAGGCAGTGTGAAGTCATTCATTCATTCTGCCTGTGAGCCGTGCGGAATCGCTGGCTGTGCATCTTGTGTACGGAGGTCTGCAGGTGCCCGTAGGAGAAGTGGGCTAAGAGGAGGAAGACGTGGCGCGGCCATAGCCGCTTCTTACTAGTAGAA